AGAGGCAGAACCAGATTGGACTCAGACAGTCGCCCTGGAATATACCCCTTCTTATCCTTATGCGACTTTCCGCAGCTGTCATCCACTCGCCTAGATAACAGAGGATCGTACTCTACTGCTGCATACACTGCTCGAGGAAGTCTCTAACTGTAAAGTCAATCTTATACAGCTCGAGGACCCTCTTTAGCCATGTATGGGGAACCGAGTTGAATGCCTTTCTGTAATCTATCCAGGCAGCGGAGAAGTTCCGACGGTTGCGTTTCACCACTTTGCCAATGACCGCGTCAATGAGGAGTGGTTCCTTGGTTCCACGACCACCACCCCAACATCCATTTCGAGCACGCGTCATCACCTGATTTGAGTCCAGGTGACGAGTAATTCTCGCGCTCAAAATGGATGTTAGTGTCTTGTATATGGTCGGTAGATACGTGATGGGGCGGTATTTGCTCGGGTCCGTGGTAACCTCGTCTTTAGGAACCAAATGAGTGATCTAAGTAGTGAAGAGGCTAGGGAGCGACTTCCGGTTGAGAGCCTCTTGAAACTGACGGGCGAGCACAGCGTGACACACCATGAACCCCTTAAGTCAGTAGTGATGCAGTCCGTCGAGTCCCGGACTTTTCCAGTTCGGGGCTCTACGGACCGCCTCAGTTACGTCATCCGGCGTTATGGTGACGGGGTCCATGGGCGTAATACTCGCACACTGACCCGCCACAACTTCCGTCCAAGAGCCCTCGCTGTGGCTTACGGACTCGCTCCAGAATGCGACAGTGTCGGCCTGATTCGGTGCTGAGCCCGTTCCACTTACCATTGGTCGCTCCAATGATTTATAGAGCCTCTTCTGATCACTCTGGAAGAGAAGATTCTGGCTGAACCGTGTCGACCTCTCGGTATATTCGCCGAATCCGCTTTCCCCAAGCAGCGATTCTCTGCTTCAGGTGGTTTATGCGCTCCGTCAGTTTTTGCATTATATCCGGCTGGGACAAACTGACATTTGTCCCAGCAAACGCCATCCTGACGGTTCGCACAATCCTTGGCCTGTTGTTGCCTGACCTGAAGCATATCAGTCTGCCGATGAGGGCCCTAGCCTTTGCGATACGTTATTCAATTCTTATTCTCCAGGCTGGGATAGCGCTACTTTGTCCAGTAGCGCGTCCAACCATGGAAAGTTTGGCGCCTATAATACGGCATACTGCCAGTGCTGCGCAAGAATTGAGTTCGTCTCGCAAAGATCCCGGCTGGCTTCCAAATAGGTCACCAGCATTGGGTTTAGAGCCCTCACGACAGCCCGATTCCGCTTGCTTAGGGCTATGCGGGGAAATCGCGGTCGATTTTCGAGAGCCGTACTACGCGTTTCCACAATCGCCTCTTCCAATGTTCTCCTCATATGCTCTTATTCCAGTTCCTGGGCGACTGTTCCATCATCGTTTGAATCAACTACAACTGGGGTATTCACGGCGGCATCTACTTTTGCGGGTTGCTCTGCAATTTGTGGCGCCGCATCCTCAGCCGTAGCATTTTCATTGAATGACGGAACAGCCTCACGTCGTAGCCATTCGAGTTCGGCGACATCAAATATATTTGAGCGCAAGAGATACCGAACTCGGTGTGCCAAGTTTTGCTCTGTGACGGTTAGAGATGGCTCCAGCTCAGCAAAAAGACGATGCATCCTGGACCGATACGCCAAACCTTCTCCCCCTTTCGCCCTAAAATACGCCCGCAATGCGTTAGTATTCATTTCGATTGTCCATCGTATGCGGCGTACTCCACCAGTGGCGGGTGCCGATTGCTGGGCCCGCGAAGACCCTGCCGACACCAATGCAGGTGGGGGAGATGATGGATGCGTGTGGCTGATGGGTGGTCATGCAGCACCTCTCGCTCGGCTGGCGGTTCACATGCTATCGCGTCCAGCGCCAGCTCCAGACGCGCCCTGGCGACCTCCAGGCAGCGGCTCTTTGCGCGTTCTTCCGTATTCCATCATCCATAGTGGTGGGCGTCATTTAACAGGAGATGCCCAGACCCGGCGCCGTTTCATGGTGGGGCTATGTGCACAAGCGGGCCTTTGCACCTTCAATTTTTACCGAGGTACGGCACTAACACCTCTTGGTAAGGTGCTGACTGACTGCGCTGACGTAGTGGTTTTGTCACTTAACCGTTACGTCAGCGGGCGATGGGGTCGTTACTACCCTACGCCGTTTTATATACCCCTCTATCCTTAGCCAACGAGCAATTGCAGGACCCGGTAGTACAGAGCATTTCCGACCGGGAGATCCTATGGAAGGAGAAGGAGCTCCACGGGAGGTACTACAGGGTACAGGGTCTACATGAGCCCCACGTAGATACAGCCGCCTCCCTCAACTGGCTACGTTTCGGTGACCACTTCGGGGAAACCGAGGGTTTTGTCTGTGCAATGCAGGTTCAGGTTATTAACACCAACAACAATCGGAGACACATTCTAAAGAATAACACTGTCGACGTCTGTCGAGCTTGTTGCCATCCCGGGGAGTCACTTAGGCATGTCATCTCCGGTTGTTCGGCGCTTTCTAACTCTGAGTAACTGCACAGGCACAACCTAGTAGCCAGAATTCTACACCAGGAGCTCGCTCTGAAATACGGTCTCGTGGACCGGAAACTGGCAGAGAATGTCATAAGGCATTAAGTCCGCCCTTTATATCCCTTAGTATATAAGGTGTATAATAAAGATTAAATAAATAAATAAAATAAATAAATTGCCGTATTACAAGTACTTGCCGGAAGCCGTGCTCGAAAATGACCGCGCCAGGCTCTACTGGGACCGGGGCATCATCACGGACAGGACTATTCTTGCGAATAAGCCTGATATTGTGCTGATTGGACCGGGCACAGTCAAGGATATTTTTGGTCGACATTACCATTCCGTATGACGAGTATTCGTGAAAACCGAAACAGATAAACGAACAAAGTATCTGGACCTGGTTCACGAGGTGACCGACATGTGGGCTGGTATGCCGGCCGAAATAATTCCTGTAGTCGTCTCTGCGAATGGGCTAATTCCAGTCAGCCTCTCGGGTCGATTGAGGCGACTGGGACTCCGTGACCTACCGCTTCGGGCTCAAATGCAGAAGTCGGTGCTCCTCGATACCGCCCGCCTCGTCCGCCGGTTTCTTTCCCTTTCCTTCTAATCCTCGGCCGTTTGGTCTCCCCTGCCGAGGGCTTCCATCTGGTTGGGATTTTATTTATTTATTTATGTATTTTATTTTATTTTATTGATATTTATGTATATTTATCTTTTCATTTTAATTTATAATTATATATTTATAGAACCCAACCAGATGAGAAAACTATATAGATACCCCACTGAATAATAATTTATTTAAAAAAATTAGTTGTCTTTGATATCGAAATACTTGTCTTTTGTCGAGTTCAGGGGGGTAACTTGCATGCCTATAAGACATGTTAACGTTTACCGTTGCAACCAATTAAAGTCCACTGCTGAACATAGGCCTCCCACTGGGTATAAGAATATTCAATACCCATATTGTCCCAAGGGTGTCGTAAAAAGCGACAGAGGGAAACTGAACCAGAAGATGGGCAGCAGCATGTTCCTGGTAACAACACAAAATAATAAAAGACCACGGTTGCCAACCCGGCTGCCAAGCGTAGCAGTTATGGCAAAATACTCCCTATGATTCCATGGGGGAGACCTATCTTCAGCAGTTGACTTTTGTATGTAATAGATAGATAGGTATGTTATAACTTCATATAAGTCCGTCGGGATTTTACTAATTCTAGGACATCTTTCTGATAGGTTGAGGAAGTCATTCACCATCAGGTAGACTGTGAGCTCGTTTGTCACTGAGTTACCGTTTTTCATGACATATCGCTGAATATAATTATAGCTGGAATTGTATTGTATATAATTACTAAAATGATAGGTCGTCTTTCCTCTTTCGACGCTGGCCTCATTTCCCTCCTAACTTGGTTCCTAACGACCAAAGCTAGTAGGTTGTGAGGTACATTCCATCTTAGTACTCTAAAGTTATAATGCATTAGTAGCCTTCTTTTTTTTGCAGTAGATAACATCATGTGGACTGTGAGTTCTTTTGTCAAATTAGTTTTTTTGAATAATAATGATAAGTAATAAAATTATTAGATGTGTAAAAGCTTGTTTTTAATTATAATATTAAAACAAACATGAACCTCTTCCACAGTTATTTGCCCTAAACAGAATAAACCGTAAACGCAACATTTGACGATCTTAATTCCACCGGACTCCCTGATCCCGGATTCATCATTACACGGCCCAATTTATTAAAAAATTAAAGTATCTGTCAGTAATGCTGAAATATTTGCCTATTATCAAGCAACACCAGGATATTAATAACCATTTTTTAAATTTTCGTCTGCCTGTTTGTCTGTTGGTCCGGGATAAGATCCCGGACTGGTTTAAGTTGTCTGGAAGAAATTGCTGCATAGCAATAAGACCGCCTTTTGTTTTTGTTTTTGTTTGTTTCTTGTTATGTTGTTTTCTTAGTGTTCAATAAAGGGTATTGTGTTGTATTGTATGGTTGAACCGATGTAATTAAACTTCACGAACAGATAGAGAGCTGTGCAAGAAGTTATCTAGGCTATATTTTATATGAAAATTTAATGCATTTACAAAAATGGGCTTTGATTATTTGAAAGCTGAATAATGTCAAATTAATAGGTAGCTTACCCAGGCGACGCCAGGAAGGTTCGCTAGTTTGTCATAATATTTCTCACTTGGTAGAGCTATGTTGTAAATATAATCTTATGGTTTCAGCACGAATAGTATGGGTTAGGACTACGCTCTCATAAATTTTTAGTACACAATATAGCATTTATTAACACAATGGGTCTGTGTTTATTAATGGTGTGCGACGATAATCAAAAATCCTTTTCGCTGGTAACGGGGAATTCAAAGCATGGCCTAAGTGGTGACAACTTCTCTACATTTTGATCATTTAACGAGAATAGGTATCGGTCTGCCACAGCTTCCATTTATCATATACACGGTCGGTATGCTCGTTTTTCATTTATTAATTTCATTCATAGTCAATTGTACAAAAAATTCTGCAATTGATAGGCCTAAGTATTTTTTTTAAAACGTTACCCTCACACTAGGATTTTCTTCTGTATCGTGGAGGCAGTTAACAAACATAAATTGCACAAGAACATTTATTTATATTCGGGATTCGAACCTGCGGCCCCAGCGCAGTCTCTCATCGCTAAGCCATTGGGCCACGGAGTTGTCGAATTTATATAATTTTATTTGTTTTCTTTATGTTAAAATATAAAAAAGAAATGAGGCAAAATACTTTTCCACTTTGTTAATATAACGAGTAATGGTAACAATAACTGTATACAAAAAGTTTTCCAAGTTTTTAGAGTTATAATGAGAGAAAATAATTTCAAATAGAATTTCAGTAATGCTCAATAATAAAGTTTGACTCGTACTTAATATTGTAATTTATTTTTATTGAAAGTTGTTTAAAAGTTGTTCACAAATACAGTTGTTTATGGGTGATGGTCGGCATCATCAGGTGAGTAGCATCCTCGATTACCCACTCTTCTGTAAAAAAAAAACGTTAAAAAAAAGCTGTTTATAAGATGATGTTTGTTTAGATGATAATAACCCCTGGGACTAAAGTGATGGCTAGCGTGTTGTTTCTAAATGTTTTAGATATAATTGTTCAACTTTGTAAATTATTCTTTATTAAAGAAATAAGCGATCGACCCCGTCTTCGCACGAGTAATTTCTGAAACTTCACAAAAGCGCTGCCTGCCAGGCAAATCTTTGAAATTCTCACCTTTTCTCTTAAACTCCCCTCTTGAATCATTCTGTCTATTGATGGAAACCGTTTCAAAATACGTTGCGAGATTTAAAAGTTAGTTCTTTCAGATGACGGGAAGAGATTATTTTTTATACTATATTGAGTTTTAACGAATAAATCATACATGATACCTACAGGTCAAACTAATAATTAATAAAAGCCGTTTTATTTGAATTGAAAGCGTGCTAATAAGAGCGTGGATTACCGTATTAATGTGGCACGTCTGCGGTGTGTCGCGTAAATAGAAATTTTATAGCAGGATTCGCATAACACTATGGTCCGTTCTAATTGATATCCGGGGTTTTGTTACGTAATCCATAATCCATAAATCCATAAACACTCACGCCTGTCACTCAGAGAGGTAGGCTGAGACTACAGATTTCCATTTGGCACGATCCTGACACACCTCTCTCGCCTCCTTCACATCCATACACCTACGCAAACATGCTCGTCGGTTAACGGTACTCCTAATTTGGCCCGTTTCCAATAAATCGCCAATTTGGTCGATAAATTTTCGCCTAGGACGTCCCTTTCCGACTCTGCCATTCACTTCTGCAACATAAATTTTCTTTGTCACTCTTTCCTCATTCATTCTTTCCACATGACCAAACCACCGAATATCCCTTACTTGGGTCCTCAAGGATAACCTGGAGACGGCTAAAGTGTTGCGCGATGACAGATTAAAAAACAAATCGGGCTACTTAGAGAAGAACTGCAATCAAATAAATGAAAGTGAACGTTTTGTTACTACGTATAAGACGCACGTGAACAGAGTTGTAGGTCGCAATGAACATTACCATAACCTCAGGTTTAGGAACGCATGTGAAGAGTTCAATGGCCGAGAATCTTGCTCGGATACTAGCGTTGGAACCGAAGAGTATGTGAGGAAGAAACACCGGCATCGTCACAGAAGAAAAAAGAAGGGTGCCAAGTTTGGATACGATATTAGAGATTTGGACAGTTTCTTAAGTGCGGCCACCATTGATCGTCCGGGCAACATTCCAGTGGTAATAGCGTTTCCTAACTACGCTGTACCAGACGCAGAAGGATTGTCAACGCGAGCTGACGCTACCTCTGGGTACAGTCGTTAACGCTGTGTTCAAGAATCAGCAGTGGGTTTATGCACAGACGCCACATGGGCACGAGGGCTATGTGTTGTACAGTGCATGTCTACCTTTAGGAATATTGCCGAATAAAACTTCGGTGCAGAAGAAAACTCCTTGCTGGGAAAGCAGCACTGATATTTACCCGCAGCCATGTGGCAACCTGACGGACATGGAAAAAGAACAACTTCGCGGTCGGACACGTTCGGAAACACGTACCAAGCCACGCACTCAAAAAAATTCTCAAAACTTCCTGCGCGGAAAAGGATTTTGATACGCTTTATTTAAAAACCAAATCTATTTGCTTAAACATCGATAGACTTCATGAGAAGGAGAATTTACAAGTTAATTATGGTGTGAAAAGACAGACGTTATTAGTTGTTAACAGTGATTATGGCGGGAATGTTTTAAATAAAACATTAACTGTGCATAAAGGTGACGTCGTAACGCTAGTGCAAGGTGATGGTAGTGAGACTGATGTGGATTCAGAATGGTTTTATGTAAGAAAAAAAGATGGTAGTGAGGGTTTTATACCGGCTGTTGTGGCCGGTCATGGTTATATTTGATTCCATTATTGAATTAGTCATAGAGTATTTAAGAAATTTTTTTAAAAAAAAAAAAAAACAAATCATTGTTTTTAGATCCAACAAAACATAAATTAATCTGTAAATATAGGTAGTTATCTATGGTAAATTGATTTTACCATGTTTCATAAAAATCCACTAATTATTTAAAATTGCACTATATTTTATAACATATATTTTGTGATGATACTAGTAGTGTGTTAACCGTTAGCTTTTTGATTGGTTAACATTTATATATACAATTGTAAATGTTATTACTTATTACAGAGTGGAAATTACAATAATATGTTAAAACAAGTATCACGAATAAAAAGAATTATAAATTTATAATAGTTAAATGTTACCCACTATTGGATGAAAACCAAAATAAAAATCCGCAAATGAATATAGATGATGCTTATATTATATAGATGATGATGATGCCGTGTAGTGGCGGTTAAGAATATCCACTACCCCATATCTTCCCGTGGGTGTCGTAAGAGGCGACAGAGGGAGACAGGCAGGAGATGGGCAGCAGCGTCTTCCTGATGACAACTGTGACGTAATAAAAAACTGCGGTTGCCAACCCGCTCGCCAAGCGTGGCAACTATGGCAAATACCCCCCAATGAATAAATACACAAATAGACGGCCCCCAGTCCCCGGCGGCCCCGCTATTCCTGGCTACGGTGGCGACCATGGTAACGGCGGGGCAGGGGGTGCTAAGAATCTCCGGTGGAGGTTCGGTTGCCACCTACGACGACTCGACCTGGCAACATATAACGCACGCACCCTGAGGACTGACGAGAAGATACTGGAGCTGGAAGAAGAGGTAGACAAGTTGCGCTGGCATATTATTGGATTATCCGAGGTCCGAAGAGAGGGGGAGGACACGACAATCCTCGAGTCCGGCAACTTGTTCTATCACCGGGAGGGCGACCATCTGTCCCAAGGAGGTGTCGGATTTATCGTCCACAAATCTCTCGTCAACAACGTTGTAAAGATTGGGAGTGTGTCGACGAGGGTCGCGTACCTGATACTCAGAATCACCAAACGGTATTCGCTGAAGGTCATTCAGGTTTACGCACCAACCTCGGCACACCCCGATGAGGAGGTGGAGGAAATGTATGAGGATATTTCCAGAGCCATACATTCCTCCAAAACCTACTACACGGTGTTGATGGGAGACTTCAACGCAAAACTGGGCACAAGAGAAAGCGGTGAGCTGAAGGTAGGGAAATTTGGAGTAGGGCAACGGAACCGAAGGGGCCAGCAGCTGGCCGACTTTATGGAGAAAGAGGGACTCTTTATGATGAACTCTTTCTTCCAGAAGCGGCCCCACAGGAAGTGGACCTGGTCGAGCCCCGACGGTTCGACAAAAAATGAGATTGACTTCATTATGACGACCAGACGCCAACTGTTCAGTGATGTCTCAGTGATCGCAAGGGTGAAAACTGGCAGCGATCACCGAATGGTTAGAGGCACACTGAACCTAAACGTTAAGTTGGAGAGGTCTCGTCTAATGAAGTCAACGCTCCGTCCCCCTCGTGCTCTAATCCAGAATCCCGAAACCTTTCAGCTCGAGTTACGTAACCGCTTCCAGTGCCTAGAAGATTGCAATGCTGTGGACGATATGAACGACAAGCTCGTGGAAACTGTCCATGCGGTCGGAGCTAAGTTCTGTAAGACCCGCCGCAGAAGAACACAAAAACTCTCCGATCACACTCTTAATCTCATGGCTGTTAGACGGGAGATGAGGCTGCAATCGTCAACAGATTTGACAGCATACAGGCAACTGAACAGACAGATCTCCAAATGCATACGGCGAGACTTACGCAACTTTAATACTTCTCGTATTAAAGAAGCGATCGAGCGGAACCAGGGCTCCAAAGTCTTTGCCAGAGATCTGTCTGCCAGAAAGAGCCAACTGTCAAGGCTGAAGACTGAGTGTGGCAACATCGTTTCCGGGACACCTGAGATTTTGAGTGAGATTGAGAGGTTCTATGGGCAGCTGTACACATCATCGTTGGAGCCACACGCAAGTGTGAGTAACGATCCAAGAGCAAGTCTTATCCGACACTATTCCGATGATATCCCGGACGTCAGTCTAAGCGAGATTAGAATGGCTCTCCAGCACCTTAAAAACGGCAGGGCCCCAGGCGAGGATGGAATTACAGCGGAGCTTCTGAAAGCGGGTGGAACACCGGTACTTGAAGTCCTTCAGAAGCTCTTCAATTCCGTCCTCCATGGTGGCACTACTCCAGAGGCGTGGAGCAGAAGTGCGGTGGTCTTGTTCTTTAAGAAAGGCGACAACGCTCTCTTAAAGAACTACAGACCGATTTCCCTTCTGAGCCGCGTCTACGTGCTGTTTTCGAGAGTCATTACGAATCGTCTCGCACGCAGACTTGACGACTTCCAGCCTCCCGAACAAGCCGGTTTCCGAAAAGGCTTCAGTACCATAGACCACATACATACCCTGCGGCAGATTGTACAGAAGACTGAAGAGTACAATCTGCCACTTTGCCTGGCGTATGTGGACTATGAGAAAGCCTTTGATTCCGTCGAAATTTGGGCGGTGCTACAGTCCCTTCAGCGGTGCCAAGTTGACTGTCGGTATATCGAAGTGCTGAAGTGTTTGTACAGTAGGGCTACGATGGCTATCCGAGTACAGAACCAGACCTCGAAACCTATCCAACTGCAGAGAGGTGTAAGACAGGGTGACGTTATATCCCCGAAACTCTTCACCGCTGCATTGGAAGACGTTTTCAAGCTACTGGACTGGAAAGGATACGGTATTGACATCAATGGCGAGTACATCACTCACCTTCGATTTGCCGACGATATAGTCCTTATGGCAGAATCGCTGGAGGACTTAAGCACTATGCTCAATGACCTCAATAGTGCCTCCCAACGGATAGGTCTTAAGATGAACATGGACAAAACAAAGATCATGTTCAATGTCCATGTCACACCTATGCCGGTAGTTGTTGGGAGCACTATGCTCGAAGTTGTTGACGAATACGTTTACCTGGGACAAATAGTCCGACTAGGTAAGTCCAACTTCGACCGAGAGGTCAATCGACGGATTCAACTCGGCTGGGCAGCGTTCAGGAAATTACGGCATATCTTTTCGTCAGGTATACCTCAATCTCTAAAAACTAGATTGTACAACCAGTGCGTGTTGCCAGTGATGACTTACGGATCTGAGACGTGGTCCTTCACTGCTGGCCGTATGAGGACGCTTAAGGTCGCTCAGCGAGCTATGGAGAGGGCTATGCTCGGAGTTTCTCTGCGTGATAGACTCAGAAATGAGGATATCCGCAGTAAAACCAGAGTGACCGACATAGCCCAACGGATTAGTAAGCTGAAGTGGCAATGGGCCGGCCATATAGCTCGAAGAACCGATAACCGATGGGGAAGAAAGGTTCTCGAGTGGCAGCCTCGTACCGGTAGGCGTAGTGTAGGGCGACCCCCCACTAGATGGAGTGACGACCTGGTAAGACATGCAGGAAGTCGATGGATGCAGGTGGCTCAGGACCGTGCTTTGTGGCATTACTTGGGGGAGGCCTATGTTCAGCAGTGGACTTGTGAAGGGCTGTAATGATGATGATGATGATAATGAAACCACCGAAGCATTCCTTTCTTAATCCTGGTCACAACATCATCTTGCAAACCACACTCTTCTCTTATTACACAATTTCTTACCCTTTTTTTTTTGCATGGGGGAAATGCCTACGCATACTCGCCTCGCGGGGGGCAAGGACGGGTTATGTCGGACTCGCACCGACTAAAACCCCATGGTGTTCCACCTTTGTCGCATATTGGCAGGGCTACGGGAACGCTTTCGCACACATCCGCGGCTCTACTAGCGCCTGCCGCCCCATGGCAGCACCTCCTCGGGAGAGGAAAATTCCTCCCCGTTCTCCTTCCCAGGTAAGGCGCACCAGAACACATGGCGCGCCTTCCTCCACGGCCTCCAATTACGTCTGTGCAACAGACGCCCCCGCGTCCGATGCACAAAGGCCATGGGACCAGGAAAAACGAGCACTTAGAAGTACTAGCCTTCCCGACCCCAGCGGCGGATCTGGTCTATGGCTCCGCCGCCAACCAAGATTCGGCTGCGGAGGGTAGGGAGAGCGGCGCCTCGCAATACCGACAATCCTCTCCCCCCGCAGCCCCACCACCACCGCATCAACGGTGCGGCCCCGTTTGAGTCGCGAAGGATAGGGCGAGTGGCGCATCGCCATACCAACACTCCTCTTCCTCCGCGACTCCACCTCGGCTGCAGCGGTAGAGGGTGCGCGAGTCCCCACTCGCTGCAATCCACCAGCACACATCCGAAGTGGGCTCCCCAAGCCCACTCGGAGTGGCCGCCCCTCAGGCCGGCCCTTCACCTCGGGCCAGCCACGTGGGTTCCTCTTTGTTCACCATGGGAGACCAAGCCACGGCTACTAAGCCCCCCCGCCACGACAAGGCGGGAACCCGTTCGGGGGGGACACAATTTCTTACCCTGTCATTCAGATTCAGCCCTAACATACACCCTTAACGACCGCATTTCTACTGCGTTTATTCTACTCTCGTGCTTCTTCTGCCACACCAAACTTTTACTACCATACGTTAAAGTAGGGACCAACATAGCATTGTGAATTGCCATACGTGCCTTTTTCGACACATTTTGACTCTTCACAATAGAGTGCAAGGCCCCATTTACTCTATTTCCCGCATTCACTCGTCGTTCTATATCCTTATCATATCTCCCATCCCTGCTAAATACGCAGCCCAAATATACAAACTCATCTACTTGCTCGATCAACTCCCCTTCTATTCTTATTTCACAAATCGTTTTACTTTCTTCTCTTTCAAAAACCATAACCTTCGTCTTACTTGCGTTCACTTTCATACCCCTTTCTTTTAATGATCCGTTCATTAATGTAACCATCATTTGCAACTCGGCCGCCGACGACGCAAGAATGACTTGATCATCGGCGTACAAAAGGCATTTGAC